AATTAATTACTTATTATTTAAATACGCGCAGCAGATATACACACACACAACATATTTGCACACGCCACACACACACACATATACATACATATATATTTATATATTGATTGATTGATTGATTAATTAATTAATTAATTAATTGATTGATTTGCAAAAAAATCTTATATATTTCTTTTTTTTTTTCATTTTCTATATTCTCTTATTTTTATTATTAATTAAATATGTCGCGTCTCGTTTGATGCCATGTATATGCATATAATAATTTTTAATATAAATATACATGTGTATATATGTGTGTGTATATATATATTTATATATATTTTTTGTTTACGTATTCATTCATTCGCTAATACGTGTTACTTTTTCAGTATGTACCATGTTGGTTAGTATGAGTGTTGTGTAAATGATGAAAGTGTAAAATATTACGGATTTGTATTATAATTTTTACTTAATATAGATTCTCGTCTTTCTTTGTGTTATGTTGTATTTTTTTCTTCTTGTTTTTTTTTCGTAATTTTGTATTTTTTATATATATATACTCTTTCTTTCTTTATTTATTTTTCTTATATTTAGCAAAAACGAACGGTTGCGAAAAAACGATAAGAGTTGCACTGAATTTAACTCTTAACGTTCTTTCAATGCCGGAAGAACAACATGCATGTTTTAGTGTGTATGCTGTTTATCCGCATATGTGTGTGTGTATATGCGTGTGTGTATTATTTGTACGTGTACGTATGTGTTTAACAATGAGCTAAGAAAAGGTGGTTCGGACTTGCGGCTTGTCTCATCTTTGTCTCTCTCTCTCTTTTTCTTTCTCTTTATCTTTCTCTCTTTATATCTGTCTATTTGTCTAATTAGAAAATGAGAGAGAGAGAGAGAGAGAGTGAGAGAGAGAGAGAGAGAGAGAGAGAGGGAGACATATGAATATTATGCTAATACCGATCGTCGATCATAACACGATTGATGCCACCAAACAATATATGGCGTATTTATTTACTTACTTATAATATAAAATGATGATGAAGAAGAAGAAGAAGAAGAAGAAGAAAAAAAAAATATGAACGTTTGATTTGTTTAATTTCTGTCTTTCATGATTTGTCTCGTATTAAAAAATTCAATGAAATAATAAATAATTGATCTAACAATTATTGATTCATTACTCGAGATTGAAAAGATAATAATATTCCACATAACATTATAAACTTTCTAAAATATTTCTTGAAACAAGTTTTAAACCTTTTTTCAAAAAGGTTTCTAACAAAAAAAAAAAATCTTTCTACAAGTTCGGGGGTACTTGCAAAAAGATTAACTCTATCAAGTAAAATTATTTGATGAAATGTTTTTTTGTAAATATTTTTTGTCAAATCTTTTTATGAATCTGAAGAGATTTTCTGTTTTTTTTTTTTCTTTGGGGAAATATTTTTACGAAACATTCGTTGAAAGATTTCAAAAAATTTATCGGTGTTATTATGTGGGATATATGAATCGTTATTAATACAATAAATTGTTGTATAATCAAATTCGAATTATAACAAATGATGTGTTTGCACACAAAACTATGTATATCATATAACACGATATTTATTTATTTATTCTTTTTTTTTTTTTGGTTTTCATTTTTTCTCGAAATAATTTATTAACCCCTGTGGATACATTTTTGACGAGTGTTGACACGTCATCTGCTTACTTGGGTATTTTTGTTTTATTTATAATAATTATTAATATTTAGTAATGAAAATGTTGTTGCCAAAAAATACAAATAAAAATATGTATGTATATATATATATATATATATATATATCATNTATATATATATATATATATATATATATCATCAATATAAATATATTTCAAATAAAATGTGTATTACTTTTACATATTTTAATTCATATATAATTACAATAACAAATTACAAAATTCGTTTATGTATAAATAAAAATTGTCAAATAAATCAGTACTCAAGGGGTTAATTAATTCGTGACAAAATATATATTGTTGATAACAGATACAAATATTGTGTGACTTCTTCTTATCCGTTATAATTATTCTTGATAATATACTGATGAAAAATTAAAAAGTAAATAATTCTCGAAATATAAGAGAAATCGATAAAAGATATAATAAACGTGATATTTCGATGATAACAAATATAATTTATAATATAAGCCATTTGTTATTGCCAATTTTTATTATTTTATACCATTTAAAGACTCTAAAGCTCTGTAATGAGAAAGCATTTTGATTTCAAATACAAATATCCAACTTCGTAAAATTACAATGAAAAAAACAACCAATCGTAAAAACTTCATTTATTCACTTGACCACAATATCAAATGAAATCGTGTGAAGTATCAGAAAATAAAAAAACGGCCCCCTTTTCGATTGTAACAAAAGATTTTTTTTTTTTTATTTAGCACACGTATACGACCAGGGTATACGAATAATCGTGTTAGACGAAAAAACATGGATGGTTAGCAAAATTTTTATCGTGTTATATGAAATTCGTTTGTGTGCGTGCTACTGCTGCTGCAAAAAGAATTCACGTTTTACAAGAGTCCTACTATTGCAGCATGTATACACATTGAAGTATATTTTTATCTTTTCGAAAAGATAACGGAATATTTAATACGTTTTTCTTGAAATCGTTAGATCGTCTCTCGAAGACAGTTCAACGCAAACAAGCAAGCAAGCAAGCAAGAAAAAAAAAAAGCAAATCGTTTCGACACAGCGATATATTATTTTCATTCCAAATACATACACATTGTACGTGTACATACACACACATAATATATATATGTATATGTATTTACGTAGCACGTATATACGTTCGCACGATTTCGATCAGCGAACGTTAAGATAAACGTCGAGGTAGATTTCCGTAGGCTCAAATCGACGCGACAAAATACGCCTACTGTCGAAATATGTATACCGATTTGCTACTGTTTTTCTGACTACTTCGATATTTTCTTTTTTCAAAGATAACACGCATAAGTATGTACGCGTAAATATCCATATGTATATCTACGTACACATATGTATGCACGCATTTCGTCAAAAAAGGGAAGAACATTATTTCGATATATAAATTTGTCCGATGAAAACTTATCTAATGTGATTTCAAGTACAATCGATGAGATAAGACAGAAACTAGTGATTTTAATTGAACAATGTCTTTACTAAGGTAAAGTCCCTATTTGAGATCGGTAATACCTCGAGAAGTCTGATAAAAATAAAAATAATATTAATAATAATAATAATATTAATAATTATAATAATAATTATAATAATAAAAAAATATTGTACTTTTAAGATAACGCGATTCGATTGATTATTGGTTTAAAAAAAAACAAGTTTGTACGATGATCAACGATCGATGATTTTCGGCTAGCTTGCCGAACCGAAAGAAAGAAAGAAAGAAAGAAAGAAAAAAAAAATAACATGTAGAGTTCAATGTCTTTTTGTAACTCCTTTTCTTTTTTTCTTTCTTTCTTTTAACGACGAACTTTTACGATCGAGGCCGAGTCTCGCGCTCTCCAAGCTTAAAAACAAAATTCGGACGAGACTTACATAAAATGAAGGAGAGCACGAGTCGTTGGTCTCTCTGAGGATGCCTCATACGCTCGCACCCACCCACGCAATTATTCCCTATCTATACATATAATAATTATAATAATTATAATAATATTATTATTAATAATAATAATAATAATAATAATAATAATTAAGATCCTTCGTAACGGCGAAGGCACCCATTTTGTCCCCGTATATTTCTAAATAGTTTGCCATGTGCTGACCGAGAGATAAAACAAAAACGACGAGCTCACGAGGAACGCACGAAGATCGGCCCTTATATAACCGTCCGCCATCCGTCATGGGATTAGACGTTTCTCTTTGGAAAGAGACTTTACTTCTCTCTTTCTTTCTCTCTCTCTCTCTCTCTCTCTCTCTGGCCGTAACTCTCGTAATCGAGAAAAAAAAAACAAAAAGTTAGGAAAATAAGAATAATAGGAGAAATAAAAGTGAATGGGGTGCTGAGAGTAATAGGAGAATTAACAAGACAGGGAGATCAAAAAGTGGACAAGGACAAGACAAGATGATGTACGAAGAGGAAGAAGAAGAAGAAGAAGAAGTAAAAGAAAAAGGAACGCGTCTTACGGATGGACGATCGTACCGGAAGGAATCCGTTAAAGGTTGGTTTATACACTTTATCCCCATCATCATCGGTTTGAAAAAGATGGTGGACGATAAAGAGGGGTTGGGTGGGTGGTAATATCTCTTCGCTAAAGAATTGCGTTCATTTAGTGATCGTGCCGATATAACGAGGATCTTGCTCTTAGATTCTCGTTTCTCTCGATTCGATTATCATCGTTGGCAGTCGTTGGTAGTGTCGATAGCGGCGATGTCGTCGTTGATGATGATATCGATGATAATAATGTTAACGATGGAGGTATTTGTTGTAATAATCGGCGATGATACGACGATGACATTCGACGTCTTCTTGCTGGCACTGGCATCGTACTAATTATTTGGGGTCGGCTCGGCGATGATCTCCGCCCGCGGACGTTAGAACGGGGCGGCTTTTTGGCCTAGTCGCCAAAACGACTACAGGCCTTTTTCCATTTGCATTGGGTGCACCAAAGATCGCGGTGTTCCATGCCGTAAACTTTGCGACACTTTTTCGTTTCACCGCGAATCCGGCGTGGTGAGGATGGTATTTTTCCAGTCGAAACCGTCAACAGGCCCATGTTCTGCTGGTGATAGGCTTGGAATGGACGTGGCGACAATTTGATGTGCTTGATCGGCGTACCCTGTCGAATTAAACGTACAAACATACGTGATCCCACGAGTACCGATGAACGAAAGTGAATGTCTGTTTATATTGCATATATATATGTATGTATGTATGTATATCTAAGCATGACGAAGCGCTTTTAGAGAAAACGGATCTAACTGTGATAGTAGGCATTGCGGCCAAACGAATACCACGGACTTTGTGTATGCTACTTACGGGCGACTGCAGAATCGTGAATGCATTGTTTCGTTCCTTCACGCACGGCATCGCTGAACTATTGCTTTCCGTATTGCTTGTATTAACCGGTACTGCTTCCAAGCGAAGTTGTTTCTGATACTCTGGATCCTCGTGGGGTGGCCTAGCCATGTCCCGATGTGACATCGTAGGTGGTGAACTCATATGATCAACCGCTACTTCTTGATAATAAAATTCTTCCTCGTGGTCCGATATATCGTCTTCGCCATCGTTATCATAGCCTTTTGATTTTTTTGGACTGCAAAATATCAACGATCTTCGTTAATAAATGACATTTAAATGAACGCATTAATCAATAACTAATGTAAAAAATATATTATAATAGGTCTACGTATGAATTTATTAAAAAATACGTAATCTCTGGTAAACACTTGTGGATCTTGTTTAAACAATCCTTTTTTATATATATATATATATATTATTCCGTTTACATTATCCCCACCGATAGTTTTATTTACTCGTACGGTAGCCAATTTTATTTACACGCGTTTTATTTGTATAACCGGGTAGGTTGTTGAATTTTCAAGAAACGAAATATAGGAAGTAGTCTCGACTGGAAAAAACGAAGAATAATATCTCGTATTTACGAGATTATTAACATTTTCGAGAGTGTCCATAAGTGAGGAACAAAATTTTTGACGCGACGGTTTCCTAATTCATTCTCGATTACAAACGAACACAAGTAAACACGCGCGCGTATTTGCTTATACAAATATGTATATGCATATGTATTATATTTACGTATTAACACACGAAACGAGACGCGTAACTATGCGACGATATTTTGCGTTAGAGCTTATCTTATCGCGACGATTCAATGTCAACCCTGAAAAGACTATTCCGCGTCCTTGGTCTTACAAGTTAATTATTTTCGATTAGGTAACAGGAGCGTATACAATCACCATTTGAGAGGCTGACAATTTGTAAAGAAGCTTCTTCTGTCCGTAATAGAGATGACAAGAAGGGCTGGTGATAGGGGTGCGGGTGGAACAAAAAAAGGGAAAATGAACTTACCCAAGATGAGACTGACGCACGTGTTCCTCAATGAGTGGAACTGTAGTCTTGACTTCGAGACAACCTTTCCATGTACATTTGAAAACAACGGCAGCCTTGGTCTAAGAATAGAAACAAAGAAATTTATAAATAACATTGTAAATATAATTTTTTCCTGAAGTGGAATGAAACTGACAAGATGACAAAATAAGATGAACATTCATACATAATTGTGTCCCCGAAAGGAAAGATGCAGCTTTTGCTATTTTTTTTTTCATTATTATTATCATTATTATTATTTGTTCGTTCGATGATGAAATAGTCAAATTCGTTGGGTTAAAAAATATCGATCGGTTAGAAGGAGTCTGTATATATGTGTGTATATGTAAGGGTGTACGAGAGCGAGAGCGTTTAGCAGTTCCTTTGTTTACATCAGACCAACGGCGTCAACGAGAGAGAACGCAACGAGAAAGGAAGGCAAAGCTGAGGCGCCGGGGACGACGACAACGACAACGACAACGACAACGACGACGACGACGACTGTCACGTGCTATTGATCCAGGAACGATGCATACAACCCCCCATTTACGAAGGACGGACCTAGTCGTAGAACGAACGAACGAACGAGCGAATGAACGAACGAACGAACTATAAAAGGAAAGAAAGAACGATCTCGTGCGTGATACACACCTACGTACAACGAAAAAAAAAAAGAGGAAAAAAAGAGGTAGTACCGTCAGAAAGCTAGCCTACAACACAACAGAGGTCTCTTGGACACACAGCAGACTCTGCTAGTGTCATCGGCCGACGTGGAATTTAGGGATTAAAAATTCAAAAGGGAAACTCGAATCGTGCGCGAACGTAGCACGTTTAGCGTGAGAGACTCGTCAGACAGACGATCGTTATCTATGAACTCCTTCGAAAGCTTATCGTTGATATCATATCGATGGGATCCATCGATCGATTCAATCGATCGATCATTGACGAACAAACAATTACTTTGGCAGAAATCCGCTGTTATTAAGCTCTTCCCGAGTGTAGATATAAATTGTCTTTTATATATATATATATGATAATACGAAGTGCAAATGGATGATACCAAGCTGAGGATCTTTCTTTGTTTAATACTTGACCCCTCTTCTTTTTCTTCCTCCTTCACCCCCCACTTTTCTTCCTTCTTACAAATACGAACGAGGAACGGAGTAACAGGTGACTACTCCAATGGTCGATTATAGCGAACCTCTAAAGTCAACGACTTTCAAATCGAATCGCTGTAGCTAGAAACGAGAAAGAGGATAAAGGATGCATCGTGACATCATCATCCCTCGTAAACGATACGCGCTGATCACGTCGTATAAAGCGGGATAGCGATCGCACCGGTCACAGACCTACGTTGCCCGGTAGACATTGCCCTCCATTTGCTTTGCTTTGCTTTGCCTTGCCGTGCCTTGCCTTACCTTGCCTTACCTTGCCTTACCTTGCCTTGCCTTGCCTTACCTTGCATTGCCTTGCCTTGCCTTGCCTTGCCTTGCCTTGCGCTCAACCGTTCATTCGCCGTAACTTGAAAGTCTACGTGCTCTCTCTTTCCCTCTCCCACTTTCTTGCTTTTTCTATTACTCTTTTATTTTTATTTTTCTCTCTCTCTCTCTCTCTCTTTCTCCTTTTTCTATTGCGTTTGCACGACGACATCTCAGCAATAGTTTAGCTACGATTCGATCTATTCGCCACGTCCCAACACAACGTTCGGTCTTTTCGACCGAGATATTCGTACGAGAGGAACGACGCAATTTCTTGCTCGGTTCGCAATAACGGTATCCCAGTTTCGATATATACCTCGTATTCGCGCATTGTGGAAGGTCGAGAAAATTCTACAATAGTGGTGGAATAAAACATTGACCTGTTTTTTTTAAATTTTAACAAAAGAGAGATAGAAAGTTATCATTTAACTGTTAGACATGTAATCACTCGTAGATTTCTGTTGCATGCAATCTGTTGCATTCCAGTTCAGACATATATCTAAGATTCCTATATTTTGCTGATAGAATATAAATAAAGTTAGACCTAATTGTAACGTCCGGAGGAGACAATTTTTTTGGCTAAAAGCAAATTTACAAAAAATGAAGTTTAAAGGGGTAAGTTAAGAAGTTGGTTCACCCCAAAGTTAGAGGTTTGCTCTATGTTGATCGTTACATGTTGTGTATACTATAGCAGGGTTGCCGAGTATCTTTCGTGGTTGCATCCTACAGGGTATACAATGTTGCCAATAGTGGACTTGAGAAAGAGAGAATAAGGGAGAGTGAGAGAAAGAAAGATAGTCTACGGGGTGCACGCGCACGGTCTGATCGGAGAGTACCGGCCATACCGAGCTCGTCCAAGCGAGTCTCCCTCTCTTCCCACGTCCCTTTTTTCCTCTACGCAACACGCAGCACCGCACGACATCTTCGCGACGAGTTCTAGTAGAGAGAGAGAGAGAGAGAGGATTGAGGAGGGATTCCAATAAGCAATGAGTCCCAACAACAACAACAACAACAACACAACTAGCTCTACCACTACCACCGTCAGCGTCGTCATCGCTACCTCCACCTCGCCATCTCCATCACCACTTCCACCTTCACTTCTATCAACCTCTTTCTCAACGTCTCTAAAGTCGTAAAGTCGAACGACGTATAATTAGAATGAGCACGCGGTAGCACACGTTCGCGTCAAAGCAACATAACCTACAAATCAGAATTCCAGTCAAGGTCTCGGCGCTTGTTATTTTTCTACCTCTAACCCAAGATGTTTACCTACCCATGGGAAAACATATATCTATATAGTATATTGCTGACAGATGTTTCATTTTTTAAAAAAAGAAATAGATGAAAAGAATGAAAATGCGTCGATCTTTAAATGAAAATAAAATATGACGATCTAAAGTAGCTTCTAAGCAAGTTATTATTGTATTTCTTGGTTACATCAGGCGTAACTTCTTTAACTACGTTTAAAAACGTGCGAGAAATTCCAGCTACGTGAAAGCACGCACGAAAGTTAGAAGAAAGTGCTTCTTCCCACACTCTCTGGCATCGGTAAACGAAACGAAAGTAAACGATCATATAAGCAACCAATACGAATTAACCTATCCAAGTGTGTATAATACTTATACGTGCATACATAGATACATATATTGAGAATAAGTCGTAAAATCGATTGCACTATTCTCATGAGTATAGTAAATGTATATATATATTTATAGATGTATATGTGTTTGTATAGAAATATATCTATCTATATAGTAGGACTTAGGGAGAATTTTACGACTGTAAAATCCGAGAAGTCGAATCGTTTCCGTCAGCGTGAAAGTCCGAAATGCATCAGTGCGCGACGCGAGGGGTCGTAAAAATCGATCCCTAAAGTGGGTATCCAGAGAAACGTCTAGCTACTAATTTCCACGTTTTCTCTGTGCACCCAACCAACCAACGAACGAACGAAAAATGAACAAACAAAAAGAAGGAAGGAAGGAAGGAAGGAAGAAAAAGAGGAACGACTATGACGATATCTATGACTATGATGACGATGACAACGACGATAGAATAAGAGTAATCGTCAGTAAAGGGTGAAGGGACGATTTATAGAAGAGAAAAGAAGCGAAAAGAAGCGAAAAGAAGAGAAGAGAAGAGAAGCGCCTCGTGGGACGAGAGTGCACTGGCCGGTGATACGCACGCGGCGTCCTCGGCGCCCCTCTCGATGAACAGAGCTTGAATGTGCGCCCGCGCGCTCGCGTGCACGCGAGTAAGTGAGCAAGCAAGCAAGCAAGCAAGCAAGTAAGCAAACGAGCAAGCAAGCAAACGAACGAACGAGTTAGGTTCTTTCTTGCTCTTGTGCACACACACGTTCGCAACGTCACGAGCGTCAATTTTCTCAGCGAATCCTTCTTAACTACTATCGTACGAGCGATTACGCTTCTTCTATTTACTATCCATACGTCGGTCGTATCTTCTTTTTCCTTAGGAAGAGAGATCATGAGGCAAGTTGTTTGTTGTGTTCGCTTGGCGACCGCCATGACACCAACTCCTCCAAGGCTAATTTTGGAACACGACTTTCTCTCTCTCTCTCTCTCTCTCTTTCTTTTTTCTTTTCGTTTTTATTTCTTTTTTTTTAGTTTAGCATCATACCGAGTTGCTTTTCACGGGCGTCAAATGTATAGTGTATTCTCTTTCTCTCTCTCACTCATTCTTTCTTGTTAAAGAGAGAGAGAAGAAGAAGAAGGGAGAGAAAGAAAGGAGGAGGGAGTGAGAGAGATAGAGAAGAAGGGAGGGTAAGAAAAGAGGAGGAGGTGGAGGAGGAGGAGGAGGAGGAGGAGAAAGAGATGGAAATCGCGAAGAAGGCCGAGAGTGTAATAAAAAGAAATAAATAAATAAATAAAGCAAGAAAAAGTGAAAGAGAGAGAGAGAGAGAGAGAGAGAGAGAGGAGTAGTCAGAACGACTCACCATTGGCGGGGATAGATGAGGAGAGTCAAGGGGTAACGGCCGAGAAACCAAAACAAACCGGAGCTCCCGTGTGTCGGCGCGTACGAACCGCGTCGATCCGTGCCGCGCGCGTGGTGAGGGTCGGCCGTTGACCCTTCCTTAATACTACCACGCGTTAGGCGCACGGACGTAAGTATATACAATATACGGGGTGGCGCGTGAAAAATCTATGTGGGCTCGTCCTCGTGTATAAACCCCATTTTCTTTCTTTCTTTCTTTATTCCCCATATGATAAAAAATCATTCGTCTGTTAGGTCGTTTTATCGTAGAAATCCACTTGTCTCTTCATGTTTCATCAACATTGTGTTTCGCGAAATGATATGACGAAAAAAGAAAATTCTTGAGGTTTGGTGAACGAACAGATGGATGACGATGAACGATGACGATGATACTACGTGTAAATATGAACTCGAAAATCTTGTTGTTCGTTTGTTGCTACCAAAGAGGAGTGACAGAGAGAGAGACAGAACGAGGGGTTGATGCACCAAAAACGATGCTAGGCGGCGTACAAGAGGGGAAGTACGGAGAAAAACAGAACAGACGACGACGACGACGACGACGACGAGGATGAGGACGAGGACGAGGAGAACGGAGATTCGAGTCTGCTGTTTCGCGC